TTGTGATTTATATGATTCATCTTTTGTAATTTTATTGCAATTAAATAAATTCTTATGTGTAAATAAATTTTCGGATCAATAGAAAATTATAAATATGCGTATTGTATATACACATATGTTTTATTCTGTTACTAAACGTGTACTATAAATTATAAATTAAAGTGATACATTTAAATTATATTTTTAAAATGCTGTTTTATTGAGACAAACTATGAATTGTTGTAATGTTATTTATAAAATATAATTTTCTAAATAAATTTTATACTAATCGAAACTTGTAACATTTTACTGCATTATGAGTAAGTTAATTTTTTGAACTTCGGAAACAATTATAAGAAAAAATATTCGTACATATTTCTAACATTTATTTTTCTATACTTTCAAACCTAATTTTTTTGATGTTCTTAAAATCAATACATTCATTGGATACCAACCCAATAGTTATTTCAGAAATGAGGTAATGTTTCCATAATTTATTTGTTAACTTTTTCCGTTCTGTGAGCACTAATCGGGCTGTTTTTAGAAAGCCCATTATGAGTTCGGCCAGACATACAATGGGATGGCTGGGTAATGAGAGACAGAACCCAACATATCCGGACGGACCACCTTTCGAAAAATTCCTGGGGTTTTTCGACTCGTTTGGATTGGATTCCGGATCCTTAAGAAGGTAGGTTGCCATCTTACTGGCTTTGCCATCCGGCCCAGTTTCGATGATTACTTTATGTTTTTCTCGTTTATATAGAAATTTTGATATTGTATACTTGCCAACCTTTTACTTTAAAATGGGGAATATCTGAGACATTGGTAGAAAAACGCTGACAGCATAAAAAGCGAAAAAATTCTTTATTACTGTAACATTGATATTGCACAAAGTTTATATTAAATACCTTTAATAAATCAAAATTTAGTTATCTCTGAGCATGATATCTTATAAAGCTATTGCCATAAACACTGTTAAAAACAAAAGTATTGCAATAACTTTATACTCTTTAACAGCAATTGCCAACCTTTCTGATCTCAGAGACCACTAAACTCACATAAGAACAATTTCACAGATTTCATTTTGCTTTACAATAACTGAAAGTTGTAAATATTAATACACAGGAATATCAATTATTCTATTCTAATATTCTTTTATAAATATGTTAATATTTACAGCATTTTGGACAATTTTCAATCCCACAGACCACTGTCATGAATTTTTTTAAAACGATATAAAAATCTATAGAATAATGATCATAAAAGTTCCATTTTTACTTTATTAATATGAAATTCACTTGTTTAATTATGACAAATTAGTGTGAAGTTTGTTGCTGCTGTTTGAAATAAGTTTATGTGTTTTTGACTCTTATTCCACGAAGAGTGGCAATCGCACGCACAACATTATTTATTGCTGATTATTTATTGATTTATTGACATTATTATTTATTGATGACAGCCATTTCGTGTTTGGTCTTAGATTCGAATAAAAAATCCCAAATGAGTGAGAAAAAGCAACCAAGCATTTTGCATTTCTTTTGTAATACTTCGTGTAACCTTGAGTTGATCAATGTCCAAAGTTCTCCACGGACTACCAAAATTTTCTCGCGGACCATCAGTGGTCCTCAGACCACCGGTCTGCGACCGCTGCATTTTAACATCACAATTTAAAAAAAGGTCAAATATTTTACGGGACATATCTAGGTGTAAATTTATGATATGTCCATCTTGATATTACTTGATGAGTGTCTCCTGTTATATGCCTTTGTGCGGTGTTTTGCTCTGTCAATAATTTATTTTGTTACAGTACAACGTGACAGTTGCTATCAGTCAGTTTGTCGACTTTCACTACAATTATTAAGGACAATAATTTTTCTTATTTATTTCCTATCTCTGTCTTTTTCTTACCATACTGAATATCTTTTCCTTTTGCCATACAGCATTGCAGGGCCACCCTTGCATTATAAAACAATCATCAGCCTTACTATTTTACAAAGATTTATAATTTTTTTTAAAATAAAAAGGCTGATGATGATTCTTTGAAATTTTTGGGACTTAAGAAAAATTATAAATCTTTGTAAAATCCCACAGATCGCAAAGAACAATCTAGTTTCTTTTCTTGAGAAAGTTTATACCATATGGCTCGTATATTCTAATGCAGGGGTCACCAAACTTTTTCCACAGTGCGCCATATAACTGAGAGAATGACGAGCGCGGGCCGCATAACCATTTTCTTCTTATTTTTACATAACTCTTTCTGCCCTGTGGGCACTAAGAGGGCCTCTTTAAGCAAGCCCATTATGGATTCGGCAAGGCCCACAATGGGGCGACCGTGTGGTGAGGAATGGGGCCCAACATATTCGGACGGACCCCCGAAAAATTCCGGGATTCGAACCCGGGTCCCCCAGAGCACTTGACCGCTCGGCCATCCGACCAAACCATTTTGTACAATACAGGATACTGAATATACAAAAAATAAAGAAAACCAACATATTTATTTACCAATACACAAACACGATGGCTGCAGCAAGCTCGTAACCGCTTTTGTTAGAAACTTACACAAAAAGCGCTCTGATATCCAGTCACAAAAATTGGACGAATGTTTCATTTCACTGACTTTCCTAAAATTTATATTACTGTCAAATGAAAAAATCACATTGGACCAATTTTGGAATTTTTACTTATTTATTTTAATTCTTTCTACGTAGTAAGTTCATCTACAATCTATGATATTTCCATATAAATAATTATATTTTAGCTCATTTATGGCACAGTACAGCGGAGGGCCGGATGAACTGACCTTACGGGCCGGATCTGGTCCGCGGACCGTAGTTTGGTAACCCCTGTTCTAATGTGATGAATCAGATGTTTCTTCTTTTTGGGCAAAGAAACTGTAGAGCTGCTCAATAATTTCGTATAACTGTAAAAGTAACTCTTTTCCTTTCGCTGTTGAGTCGGCCATGATTGAAGAATGTTAGTTAAATGGGAATCACTCAACCTATTTCTTTCAGCAGTTTTGATGTTTTTCATGCACGAAAAGAATTGTTCAGAACGGTATGTTATGCATGTTGAGTAGTACAGGTTTCTAGTAGTAATTACGTCATTAAGAATATATCCAGTCAAAGTGTATCCAGTTTACGACATACTTTACCAAATAAATGAAAATGTACCTAAAGAATTTAGAGTGCAGTGGGCCGCATATAAATATTAAGTGGGCCGCAGTGCGGCTCGCGAGTTGGACATCCCTGGTATAGACTATATTTACAAAGGTATATATTTAACGTTATCTGTCTTACATATAGTGAATGACATATGAGATAGCCTATGTTAATCGTACGACAGCAAAAATACAATTAAAAAACATCATAAAATGAAATATTTCAATATCGAACTAAATGCAGAAGCTATCCACAATGAAACTTAAAATTTATCAAGAAAGATGTTATATCTTCCAAAAAATAAATTATCACTTATATGTAAAGCCTATCAGTGACCGAGTAAATAAACTAGCAGTTAGTCGTGGATTTGTGCCTTTCAACGGAATAGTCGAATATTTTCCGATTTTCGTCAAATGTCTAACACCTAAGAACAATTTCGCAGATTTCATTTTGCTTCACAATAACTGAACGTTGTAAATATTAATACACAGGAATATCAATCATTCTATTCCAATATTCTTTTATAAATATGCTAATATTTACAGCATTTTGGACAATGCAGATGTCATCTTATTAGTAGCTTAGTAGTATCTTTTTTTTAATTCTACAGAAATTCATAACTAGATCTTGTAAAACCAATTTTCAAGAAAACTCTTCATACGTACAAATTGATAATGTATTTTGACACTTTCCTTTATAATTGAAAAATCACATGAATTTGTTAAATGACACCGACAATCCGAGGAAAAACACTACAGTTTAAATAACCGATACTTCCTCGGATTATAACATTGATGTATATTGTATGTGTTTTCACATAATTTCGGCAAATTTCTAATTATTCATTTTTTTGCAAGAAAACCATTAGTAAAAATAATCCTGACAATTCACAATAAGTCATATAAATGAATCCCACTTGTTGAATTAGTGGAGAAACTTTTACAGGTAATTTTTTAGCGACGTTATCGTCAATTTGTTTTCATATCCGCGATACAAATGAATTGTACACATCTAGAGTAATTCTGATTCTAATTCTAAATCACTTTCCGATAAATATCAAACATGATTTCAAATTTCACAGATAACAATTTTTCACTTTTAATTAATAACTTCCGAAATGTCTTTAATGAACTTCCAACACTTTTCTCTTAACGATTCTTTATTGACGTCTTTTAATGTTTCATGCATTTGAAAAGTGTAATCTTTATTTGTGACACAGTGACACACATATGTTTAAAATTTTATGTCACAAATACGTGACACAAATTTCATTCATAGTTGTCACTTTATATTTGTGTGCTCTGCACACAAATATAAAGTGACTATGAAGGAAAATTGCTTTATATGTAGAATTTAATGTTATTTTGTCTACGAAAATACGCCTTTAATGAATACATAATAATTAAAAAATGTTTAAAAATGATAGAGATAATAATTATTAAAAAGACATTTTAAACTTTCATTCAAAAATACAAATAAACGAGCAAAAATTATTATGATACAATGACACAACGCTGGGTTACAATTTTTAATCAATCTAATTTAAAATATTTCTCGAGTTTAGTAGTGCCTTGTCCCTGCACATCAAACTTTCCTGATACTGTAGCAACAGAGTCATACCGATCATCTACATACTTCCGTTCTGGAGAAAATTTTTGAATTAAAATCACGTGATTATCGTATTTTTTTTAATGGAAAATCATTTATTTATAAGTAAGGTGTCTATATAAAAATTTAACTTATTTTCATTTTTAACTAAAAGTAGTTACGAATAAAACATTCATAATTTGCAATTATGACCAGAAAATATCACGAAACGTGTTCCGGCTATTGGCGCTGTTTTCCGCAGCGGCATAATTTAGAACTAATGCTCGTGACGGCCTAGGTAGCGCTGTTTACATCATGGCGGCATCTGTGAATGATGAATCGAAGGAAGCGGAACATTTGTTAGTTTTGTATATATATTAATCATTTTATATAATATAATATATAATAAATTAATTCGTGTAACATATTACAAACAACAAATTAAAAATATTATATATATATATATTACAAATGCTTTATTTTAAAAAAATAGTTAAATTTCAAACACGTGAGTCAAAAACGTGTGCTTACAGTTAATAAAGTCATCAAATGTTTTTTGAGACGCAAAAACATATTTCAGAACACTGTCTATATGTGCATTACATAGTAATAAATTAAAAAGAAAGTAACACTATACATAAGATAATGAATAACAATAAGATACACAAATTTAAAACAAAAAAGTCTGCGTAAAATTCAAACTTTAGACCAAATTCATGTTAGTATTCTATAGCAAATCCTTTTTATCTAATAACTTCTGTCTCATTGATTAAACTAATTTTGAAGTATTGTCTTCTATTATTTTATACTATCACATTCAGATTACAAAGTATCAATAAAGTAAATATTGTCTTCTCTTAATAGAATTTTGAATAAACTATCCCTTCTTAAAATATTGCATATTGTTTCTGTACTAATTTTTTTATTTTCAGATTTAGCAATTTCTTCTGCTATTTTTGTTACAGTTACATTTGAGTTTATTTTTATTTTCTTTTATACTACATTTTTCTTGCAAGGTAACCTTTAGTATAGTGTTAGATATAATATTATGGTTGCATATTCGTAGTTCTAATAAATTCTGCAAATGTTCTATGGGGATTGTGGAGGTGTACACGGTTGTCTTTGTGCTATATAGTAAAGAATGCTTGGGATTATTATTCTGTTGGAATATGAAGTTATTCTCTAATCCCAGTTTCTGTGCACTGCTTTTATTTAAATAATCATATATATTCATTCTGCTATTGATTAATTTTAATGTTTCAACTCCACCAACTGTCATACACCTCCACATTGTCATATTACTACCTCCATATTTAACAGTGGCACTTGTATTCTTTGCTTGAAATTCTGTGTTGTTTTTGTCACTTATTCTCTTTTGTCAGAACTAAATATATTAAATTTACTTTTGTCACTAAATAACATGCACTTCAAAAAGTCTTCTGATTTCCCTACATATTCACATACAAATTCTAAGTGCTTCTTTCTGTTGACTTTACAAAAGAATGGTTTCTGTTTGGGAGTACACCCATGATAATCAGCCTGTATTAAAATATTGCATATTGTTTCTGTACTAAATTTTTTATTTTCAGATGTAGCAATTTCTGCTGCGATTTTTGTTGCATTTACATGTGGGTTTATTTTTACTTTATTCATAATTTTGCAGTTTTCTCAAGGTGTGAATATTTAGAGTCTTCCAGATCTAGATTTTAAGTAGATTGCCTGTTCCTTTAAAGTTATCAGTTACCCTTTGAATGCTGGAATGGGCTTTTGCAATAACATTTCCTATCTCATGGAAGTGTTTTCCCTTCATTATGAAGTTTTACTATTAATTGACACATATTTAATGATAATTCACATCCAGATTTCAAAGTATCAATATTTTGTTTATGTGACATTGTAATTTTAACAAGAACAAAAAATACTTACATAATTGACCTAATTTATAAAATTTATAATGCATTGTGACTAGTAATCAATAAATATGAAACTTTTAGAGGTATTTTATGGTGCAAGTTTAAAAAGGATCTATTTGCACATAGACTTTTTCGGCACATATTTTGTAAGCAGATTTATTTTATGTTTGACAAGTTTATATACAATGCTCATTATTTTAAAAAGTTTGTATATTCATAAACAATAAATTAAGCAATTTATTAAACACAAAAAATGGAACTAATGAATAACATCAAGGTCTTCTGGAACATTTTAAAAATTATTAACTGCTATATGCAGACTTTTTTGAGTTGACTTTTTTTGGTATTAGACTAAACACAGGCCCACCGTAAGCAGGCGGCATGTCCAGGGGGTGGCAAATCGAACCATCGGTCACGTAATATTCAAAGTCATTGTCATAATACTACTTAATGTCATTCTACTTATAGCATAAGAAATGTCTTCGCATGGAGAAAAAAATCTGACCGGCATGCAATTACTATATTCTTATTTATATTATAGCATTAACAGTGCCTCTATTGGCATTTATCAGAATTAATATGCAATGTGAAACGTCTGTCGGTAGATTGAACCATCTGGCAGCACCCGAAAGCCAAGTACCCATAGTCGTGCACTATGACAGAAGTTGACAGGACTGGCGAAAATGGGAATCCCCACAGACGTTCCTTCTCAATTTGTACTTGTACGCATTCAAACAATTCTATCGCATATCAAATTGCAATTATTTTGTTAATAATTCTTCTCACATGGGTCTAAGTATAATTAATGATACAGTTGACCCCCTACAACACTTGATAATTCCGTTTTATATGAATTCCATGTTGTACGAGTCACTTAGATTTTACAAATACGTGAGCCGTTCACAGCCTGCCACACGTATTTGTAAAATCTAAGTGACTCGTACAACATGGAATTATCAACAGTATTATAGGGGGTCGACTGTATTTTAACTTGGTTAGGATTTAAATCTGAAACTTAAAGATGATTCAAGTAGTGAAACAGACATTGATGGTATTGATTTGTTTAATGAAATCAATACTTTAAAGTTGCACTTTCCAGAAAACCAGTCTAATGATCCACAAAACCCTATTACAATATCTTTTTACTAATGACTTAATTTCAACATTTCTGAACACAGCAATAGCACTAAGAATATTACTTACATTGCCAGTTTCAGTTGCATTTGGTGAAAGGTCCTTTTCAAAGTTAAAAATTATAAAAAGCTATTCGAGATCAACAATGCATCAGCAAAGACTTAAGTAATTTAGCTATAGTTTCAATTGAACATGAAATCTTAGACAGCTTGAATACAAGTTAATTGATATCAGATTTTGCAAACATAAAGGCAAGAAGAGTTCAATTTCTGTAGATAAATATTTATATGGTTTTACACTTAAGTATACAAAAATAACTTAGTAATAATAAATAGTATTTTTTTTTTTTTTTCACACTCTTATGAGACAACACTAAAGAGCCTTTCTGGCAAGCTCAGTGTAGGTAGTTGTAGTTAAACGGGAGGGCATAATCGGTATTGCACACGGGCGTTCAAACAGCTAGCGGCACCCCTGACTAAACAAATGAAGTTTTAATCATATTTAGTAATTATTATGGTGTATAAATATTTATTAATTCTTTTTGTTTTTGTAGATCAGAAAGTGATGAGGAATATACAGATGATGATGATGACGAGGAGGAGGAGGCATGATTTATTCTTATGGATTCTTGATTTTAACTTGCTATTATAAACATATACTTTATTATTTTATTTTGAAAACAATTTTAGTCATCAATTTATGAGGCAGTTGGAGAATTTGCTGCTCAGGAACCAGGTGATTTAAATTTAAAAGTTGGAGATATTTTATCTATTATTACAAAAAGGTAATTATAGACTATATTTGAATTTTATAAAATAAATAAGAGCTTGGTAAATAAAATTAAATAAAAATTGAAAACTTCTTTTGAAAATATATATGTATATATTTTTTTTTCAAAGAAATTTTCATTTTCATTTTTTATTTAATTTTATTTAGTTGTATATAACTAAGAATAGCAATAAAATCCTTGATTATTCCAAAAAACAATGTAAATTCTACAAATGTTACACAAGATCTGCTTCAGGTCAGCAACATTCTAAATTGGAATACACAGTTCTATACATTCATTTGAAACTACAGTAGAAAGAATATATGTCCATTTGTAAAGAAAATGTTAATTAGAGGCTATTTTTCTTATTGTATATGGTCTTATTTGACACTTGAACTTATTACACAAACAATAGAGCAGGCAATGATTAATATTACAGAGTCAGTTCAAATATTATGAATTTAGTACTTACATCTATTTAGAAATAAGCTTTTCAATTATTGAATTAATGAACAAATAATTGACAAAGATATAATTTTAAAATTTACTTATTTTTAATGAAAATTGATTGGTTCAAGTGATAACAATATAAAATAAATTAACAACAATAATTTTGTTTAGTCTAAGTCAGAAGTTTTAACCAATACTTAAAATGATGATATATATTTAAAAGAAAATATACTTATTAAAAACTGTATTTGCATTTCAGAAAAGATGGATGGTGGATAGCTGAAAATGAGGAAGGAGAAACTGGTTTAGTGCCTTCAACTTACCTTAAGGTATACTATAAAAAGTATAGTTATGAAAGAAACATTTTGAAAGTAATAAACTTTACAAAACTAAATATTTCTGAAAAAATATTTTTAATTTTATAAATAAGAGTAATATAATGGTATTTCTAGAAAAAGTACTGAAGTAGAGGGTGGTTATAATTAAAGTTGTCTTACTCAGACCTGTATAGAGTCTGTTCTCGTTGATGTATTTTGATGAAACTTGGTATATACATTATATGGACCATGGGGAAAAGGAAAATGCAAAAAAAATAATTAGTTCAAATTTCTACCACTAGGTGAAAAAATGGCACATGAAGAACAAGAAACTCAAAATGGAAACACGCAAAAGGCTTTTATTCATGTCATTTGTTTAATGTGCAATCCATTTGCGTCAATCACATGTTCAAAGCGCCTTACATTGTGTTCGACAGTTGCTGGATAGATTTCTTGAGAAATTGCAGCAATATGGCATGTTATGCTTGCTTTCAATTCAGGCAGAGTTTGTATGCCTCACCTATAGAAACTAGTGATGTGCCGGGTATCCGTATCTGTATCCGCAGATATCCGAGGGAAAAAAAGATCCATATTCGTATCTGTATCCGTTACTTTTTAGTGGATCTTTAACGGATCTCTTATCATAATGAATTTCATTACTTATATGAAATTTTAAAGATAGGTAGCAATAAAATACTAATAACTTCAATTCAAATCACTTTTTATTTCTTAAAATCACATATTTGGCGCATTCACATTGCAAAAATTTTATCATGCAAAATTCATTTACTATCGTAAAATATTTCCATATTACACTACTAAACTTTTTTATCGGCATTGTTTTTATTTTAATTTAACTCAACACTCTCCAAAAAATACAAACGTAACCTACGCTATTCTGTGTCACACTAAACTATAAACAAAAACATGCTCAGTGCAAGTCAAAACACGTCGCGTTACTAAAGCAAAGCGTCAACTATCGGTCCAAGGTTATACGCACCGGCACCAACTGAGTATGAAAGTTGAGATCTGTATCCGTATCCACGGATCTAGATACTAATGATCCATATCTGTATCTGTATCCGTGGATATACATTTTTAACGATCTGGCACATCTCTAATAGAAACAATCTTTCAGATGTCCCCACAACCATACGAACTCTGCCTGAATTGAAAGCAAGCATAACATGCCATATTGCTGCAATTTCTCAAGAAACCTATCCAGCTAATGTTGAACACACTGTAAGGCGCTTTGAACATGTGATTGATACAAATGGATTGCACGTTAAACAAATGACATGAATAAAAGCCTTTTGCATGTTTCCATTTTGTGTTTCTTGTTCTTCATGTGCCATTTTTTCACCTAGTGGTAGAAATTTGAACTAATTATTTTTTTTGCATTTTCCTTTCCCCATGGTCCATACAATGTATATACCAAGTTTCATCAAAATATGTCAACGAGAACAGACTCTATACAGGTCTGAGTAGGACAACTTTAATTATAACCACCCTGCATATTATTTTTAGAAATCATATATATTAATATTGGATGAAATTACAAGAATTGATTAATAAATAAGTTTTTCATTTTTATAAAATTAGCTTATGTTAAACAAACGTCACTTATGTTAGTCATATATATTCCTTTTCCAACATAAAGGTATCCTGTGTACAATATGTCACTTCTACAACATGGTTTGAGAATTTGAGAAATTCTTCATTCAAAATTTCACAACTTTTAAGTGCAAACTCCATTATTCAATATTTTTTTTGTTCAAGTAAACATGCGTGCTGTCTCAAATTTGCCCATGGATTTTAGAATATTGAAATTTTCAATTGGTTTTGTGCCTTTTGCTAGGTTTACTTTTATGAAAACCAATAGTGCAATTTGTTTCTTCCTTGTCCTAGCTTTCCTATCATCCAGGTGGCATTGTCATTGCTTTCAGACTTTTAGCCCTTAAGACTGTTATTGTGTTTAGTTTTTATACATTAATTTTTGTATTTAGTAAAGTTTATTTAAACATTTTTAGCTAAGTGGTTATTAAACTTTTTTTTTAACCATAGGTAAATAATCATTTGTAAAAATGATTAACAAAATACAGCAGTCTCAGTACTCAAACAATTTAATATTCAAACACAAATTCTGGAAAATAAATTGGTTGGTCTTTGATTGAACAAACATGAACTGCTAGAACAAATTTTTTATTAATAAGGTATTATTACTTCTTATTTTGTCATACATAAAAAATTTTTATGCTAAAAATAAAAAAAATAATGACATTGCTGATATTTCTGATCAAGATCAACAGAAAAGCTCAGAAGATGATGATACTTTATAGAAAGAAAACTCTCTCATTAACTATAATTAATATTAACACATAATACAGAACTTTTAATTGTGATTGTCAATTAATTATTGATTGCTTTAATAAACAAATTTCTGTTAGTAACAAAAAAGAATAGTAAACTTTTGTTAACTTCTGAAACCTAACCCCATGTTTTACTGTAGTCCTTTGTTTGGTACAGCACAGATTCCCATAACACTGTACTTTTTCAAAATGTAACTACTGTGTTATACGAGGGATACCTGTAATTATCATTTAGAGTACCATATTTTTTCAAATATCCACTCTATTTTTGCATGAATAAAAAAAATGCATGAAAAACCTTTTGTTTTTCATGTGACTTTTATTCATTCCCAAACAGCAGTTTTGTACTCTTTATGTCAGCATTCTTTGATAATCATTTTTTAATTTCTTTATAAATTGTGTGATTTAACCAAATACTACTTTGTTGTAAGGTAGAACTGTGATAGAATTGAGCAGAGCCAAAAAGAAAGAAATGATCCTTACACTTGGGGACAAAAGGTGATCCTTGTACATGACAGTTGTGGAAGGCAAACTCTGCACTTACCTCCACAAAATAGGTTGTCTTTGTACTTATATATGTGGTTAGAGCATTTGGCAAACTTGAATATGGTGCCTTTTGGATAAGCCTTTCATTAGTCTGTTACAAATTTAAAAATTAAAAATCAGTTTTTTTAATATAATGCATATTATATTTTGTAATATAATTTTTCATACTCGTGTGATAGTTTTCTATGAATTTATTAGTTTGCCCATGTAACAATTTTGAATTTTTGGTACACCATCATGACATCTTGGGCACATACCCTTGCTGCCTTTGACTTTCCATGACCCTGCTTATACTGTATATACTGGCCACAGGAGAGGTAATTCTTGTACCTGCCAGCCATGGAAGAGATGATCCTCATAGCTGCTGGCCATGGGAAATGAAATCTTTGCACTGGCTAGATACAGAGAGACAACCATTGCACTTGCTAACATGAAGAGGCAATTCAATTCTTGTTTTTTTTTTCATTTTTTGTACCTATTTTCCATTAAGTGCATGCAATGTTGTTTTTTATTTTTCTTTCCTAAAATCCATTAGGCATGCTCAGTTGTGTCAGAAAGCTCAGACATTGTCACTTTGACTACACTGTCTATCAAAAATAAAGTCAAGGACCCATATTTTTTACATTTAAATGGACCTTCATTATGTTTTTGGATTCCTCAATGCAATGTTGGATTCTTAATGGAAAATGGCAAAGTTTCATCAAAATCAGCCCATCAAATTTTGAGAACAAACTCAATTCTATAAGCCCATAGTAGGTGTGCTAGTGACATTAGGACATCACCTGACAAATTTATGTGATTTGTGCAATATTGCTTTGTCATGCATACTCATGCTACAACCTTTTATCTTGAAAATTAAGTCATGTGCTTCCATTTTTTATTATGTTTTTGGATTTCTGATAACAATAAATGGAAAATGGCAAAGTTTTATCAAAATCAGTCAATCAAATTTTGAGATGAAATGCAATATTATAAACCACATAGAAGATGCTTCACTAACACTCTGCCTCAATTAAGCATATAATTTTAATTAACTAATGAATTATGTAAATTTTTTATTTTAGTAAATAGCATGCTTGTTATGGATTTTTTTCACTTCACTTTATGAACAAATCACATTGGTTTACAAAACCTGAAGATGGGCAGACTGCCTGAAAACATTAAGTTGAATAAATCTTGTCACATTTAAAATTATTACTAGCAATTTCAGTTTGCTAAAAATATATTTAAATGTTAATTTTTGTCTATCAGTTGTATGTTCCTTGGAACCAAGCATAAAATTGCTATTGAGATTGCTTTTGTGTATTAATTTTACTAAATAATTTTGTTGATAATATGTGTATATGATCAGATAGATAGATGTGGATGATATTATAGATAGGAAGTCATGTGTCATAGCTCAATAAGGTTAGACTTAATGAAGATTTTACTCATTATTAGCAGTTACAAATTTTTATAAAACTTGTCTCTTTTTATAAACTTGAGGGAAGACCTAAAAATGAATCTTTTTGCCATTTTATAATAATTAATAATATAAACATTTTTTAAAATAAAATCTTATAATGGATGGCACCACATGCAATTTTAAATGTTTTTTGCTGGGAAAGTTATACAGCCCATTGCTGAATTTTTTTTAAACATGGGATTTTGTAACATATATGTACAGTATGCGTAAATATGTAGGAAAAATGCATGATACAGTAAAACTTCTCTAACTTGAAGCTCCAAGGGGTAGGAGAAACTTTGAGTTACAGACAGTTCAAGTAAAAAATGATCAGACAAGAGTAAAAAATGATAATTTTGAATAGATTTGTATTTTTACCTCTCTTGCATTATATAACAAATCTTTGATAGTTTTCTTTTGGTTTTAAACAACTCATGTAATGCCTTTCAAGCAAAATGTTTAATGTAACTAATGGAATTGAACAGTTTTTCAGGTATATCGTGTTGAGATTAAATGAGAGGACCTCTCATTTTGGACTGAAATGTTGTCTGAAAATTGATGTTGGAAAGTAAATACAACTGTCTGAAAATTTCATGGAAATCTGATAATTAGGATCACTTTGAATAGAATAAATATTAAAATTTGAGTCAGGG